CCAAAACAGCCCAGAAGAGCGGCGACCGTCCTGGTCCCAAATAAACCCTTCCCCCTAATCTGGGTTGCTGTTAAGGAACTTAAATTAAGTTACTGTATTGGGGAAACCCTATTACTTACTCTATATATATATACCAAGTATGATAGCTTGATTTAAGTTCCTGAGCAGCAGCCCAGTTTAAGGTTGAATCTTTGTAGGGTTTGGGGCATAGGGAGCCCTTGTGGGTTTAGGGTTTAGGGTTTAGGGTCCAAACACTTCCGGCGTCCTTGGCATTGGCGGCTGGGCGGCTTCCTTGTAGGTCAAGCAACCTCACAAGCTCGCGAGGGACTTGAAAAGGAAAATAGTGTTGACCCTCAGAAGCCTGCAACACCCTAAGTACCTCGTACCTTGGGAATACTGAAGTCATGCAGGATGTGTGGTATCAACTGTACTGGGTTCTTGTTGCAATACCATTAATAAAAGATCTTTTTTAATTGATATTGGGCCCAGGTATCCATAAACAATGTAAATTTTTTGTTCTACAAGAGCCCAGTGTAAGTGTTGAGGTGTCCTGGGGTGCCCACTTCCGTTCAAGCTCGACCTCCACGCTGCCGCTCGTCGCCGCAGGGATGCCGGCGGCCTCTGGGCATCAAGTGAGTAGCGTTTTTTTTGGTGTTTGAACCTAATAAGATTATATTCCTTATATAAGATACTATACCCCAAAAGGAGGATAGAATCTTACTCTATAATGGGTACCATAGTATCCCCAAATGAAATACTACTCAAGTCTTATATCCAAGCCTGACGAATGGGACATCTTATACCCTTACAGCTTATGTCTTTCATATGCGAAGTAGCTTCTACCACTCTTCTACCCCACAACCCTACTCTTGTTCATCCTCTAGGCTCCTGCCCTACATCCACTGCAAAACCCTAAACCCTAAACCCTCAACCCTAAACCCCAAACCCTAAACCCTAAACCCTAAACCCTCAACCCTAAACCCTAAACCCCAAACCCTAAACCCTAAACCGCGTGCATGTGCAATGTTTCCTGGCCTGCTCGGGCTGCTCGTTCTTGGCTTGATCCGACACCTACGCGACAGTGCGAGTCCTGGTAGGCCTATTACGAAACACGAGTGTTGTCTATACTGGTCATTGTAAGACTTTAAAGCCACAGAACTGCAGGATTTTACCTGGTCACAAATTAGGGTTTTCCCGACAGTTATTATGGCAAACTCTCATCCCGATGAACCCCTATGTAAGCCCAGCTTCATGTCATGTTCCATGTGTGTGTTTTCATGTGATCCCCTATTATTAAGTCTGAAAAAGGCGGCCATATGGTAGTTTCCCAAAATAAGTGGACCTCAATTTAGACCCCAAAATACCATAATCCTTATTATTAGGACCCCCAGAAAGGTACCCCTAATTTCGGGAAACCTTCAACCCTAAACCCTAAATACTAGTTTCCATTTTCTTTTCCATTATCCCTATATAACCCCCATGTTTCCCCTATAAACACCCCCTAAAAGGTACCCCTAATTTTAGAAAGCTGGACTCTTGCCTTGCGGTCGGGTCTTTCCAAGCCCGTGGGGACGTGAAAGGACGCCTGAGCTGTTCATGTCATTTAGGTTGTTTTTTCCTTTTGTTTCTTTTTTAAAAAAAAATTATGGTGCCATTTCTCCACTATTTAGGGTTTTAGGGTTTAGGGTCTACTTGGAGGGTCAGGGAGACTTAGTAAGTGGATTACTAACCCCTATAACCCATATAGTAAGCCCATTTATCTCCATTATTAACCCACTTACTAAGTCCCCATGACCCTCCAAGTAGGGTTTAGGATCTGAGCTGTTCACATCATGTAGGGTTTACCTGGAGCCTCAGGAATCCACCTTTCAGGATTATGATCTCAATCTTTGTGGTATAAAGCCCTAAACCTGTGGGTTATATAATCACTAACCATTATGAACTACCCTATAATCCCAGTCACCATGTCATTTTCCATGTTCTTTTCCATTTGATTCTCCTTTCTTACTGGGGTAATATATTAGGGGGTTAGCTGGGGTATAGGCCTAAACACTCAACCCTAAACAGTGGGGTACAGGGGGGGATCAAGAAGTTGGATCTGGGAAGCCCACAAGCAAGTGCGGCATCAGCTGGCGCAGCCCCGTCATCAGGGCCGCTTCGGCAAGAACTGCGCAATGTACCTGCATCAGATGGTAGTTTCCCAAAATAAGGGGACCCCAATCTAGACCCCAAAATACTGTAATCCTTAGTATAAGGACCCTCAAAGGGGTACCCCTAAATTTGGGAAAAACCCCCCAATACCCCTCCAACTCTCGTCTCAGGAAGCTTTAGGGGCTCAGGAGGTGGTGACCTTGGGGACTCAAGGGATGGTACCCAAAGGACATATGGCGCTTTTCCAAAATTAGGTGTACCTTTTAAGGGGGTTTATACAGGTAATATAGGGGTTGTATAGGGATAATGGAAAAGAACATGGAAACTAGTATGTAGGGTTTGAGGTTTAAGGTTTCGCAAAATCAGGGGTACCTTTTCGGCGCCCCTAAAATAAGGACTAGAATATATTGGGGTCTATATTGGGGTATCTTAATTTTGGGAGACTACCATATCTTGATGGGAAGGAGGTACAGGACTTTCCACAGGATTCAAGGGAGATGATCCTTTTCAGAACCTAAACCCTAAACCCTAAACTCTCCCCGAATTTGTAGGCCTGCTCGGCGAAGGCGGCCATCTCAGCCCAATTATGGATGCTAAGAGCTCCCACCAGCGTGTCCTGCAACCATGCAGCATGAGGCTTCTAAAAACAGGGGTTTTGGGTTTAGGGGTTTAGGGTTTAGGGTTTAGGGGCTTAGGGTTTAGGGATTAGGGTTTATGGTTTAGGGTTTCGGGTTTAGGGTTTCGCGTTTAGGGTTTAGGCACCCTAGGGATGTATGGGAAGTAGCGGGGATTGTGGGGGTCCATATGAATATTCTATGGCGGCACATAGCCAAAGAGCGAGTCTTCCTTTTTCTCGCGTTTCTCCATCGCTGGCGGTTCGCAGCTTCCAGTAGTACAAGGAACCTACAAGATCCCACCAGGCTTCCGAGGGAGCACCCATGGCATCGTACCAAAGAATGGTCTCTTTGACCACTGCCTCCTGCAAGGAAGGTTAGGGTATGGGATTTTTAGGTTTATAGTCCCCCTGAAGTAGATAGAATGTGGCTTTGGGTATATCATAATAAGATCCCCATATACCCCATATTCTATCTACTTAAGGGGGATTGTAGGTCTTAGGTTAAGGCGGGGGTTTAGGGATTTTTAGGTTTAGGTCTTAGGTTCTAGGGTTTAGGGCTCTAACCCTCTTCCTCCAAAGAAGTGTCTGCGCTGGCCGGACACAGGTGCCATGCTGTTGCAAACGGCCCGGGTGTGTGGACATTGCGTTGAAATCGGACTTGCTGCAATATTCCTGGGGTGCTGTTAAGGAACTTAATTTAAGTTACTCTGTTGGGAAAACCCGATTATTTACTATATATACCCATTATGGTAACTTAATTTACGTTCCTTAACCGCAACCCAGATTCGCATTCCAGCATGCAACGCGGCCTCTTCTACAGGTGCGTCCTCAGTCGAGCTTTGTCCTACTGCTACGAAGCGGCCGGAACAAACACTCCAGCAATGCAATCCAGTTTTTCATAACCGTTTTAATGCCCCAGGCATCGTTTCTTATGACACCCTTTCTCCACAGCATGATGTCCCATTAAGATGGTATCTTCCATGAGTTTTGGGAAGGTAGTTGGGGCCTGCATTGTTATAGTTGCGCATCCAAGGAGCTTCTGCGTTTCCCCAGAGGATCCACAGTGACTGGCAGCCAGATCTTATGGCCACAGCGCACAGCACATCCAGAGGCAGAAAGCTGCGCTCTAAAGCCCGTCTGCGAGACAACTTTTCTTCTTCAGTTCCTGCTCGAGCATTGAGCAGCTCGTCGTCGTAAGGTGGATTGCAGACCTGAAAGCTGTGGCCACAAATCTGACGCAAGCACCTTCATGCAAACTAAGCTTCAAAACCTTTGCTGAAATGCAACTGGAAAGCAAAAACAAGAGGGCGGCCCTGCATTCCCTGCTGTGTAAGGTCATCAGGGTGCCACTGCTCCAAGGAGCCTAGGCGCTTTCACATCAGGCAAGAGAGAGCCAGCAGAGAGTGGGCTTTCCTGCCAGGGAGCTATGGACGGGCAAGATCTTTGCAGCCCACGGAGAGGCGGAGAAATTGGTTGTCGCGACTTGCATCGCAGTCTCGTCAATGTCCAGTGCAAGTATTTGAAGCTTTGTAAGACTTCCGACTCGACGCTCCCACTCTTGAGCTAGGATCAATGCAAGCACACCTGTACCTGGGGGGATTCAAAAATCAAGGATAACATGTACACATTTTGGAAGCTTTTGGTGCATATGGGGAGGACCCTGACTTTGGAGGTACCCACCTGTACCCACGTCCACCAGCGTCAGCTCGTCGCACCGCAGGGAGCGGCCGATCAGCGAAGCGAAAGCACAAGCCTGGGTTCTTGTTGAAATACCATTGAAAAAGATCTTGTTTTACTGATATTGGGCCCAAGTATCCATAACCCTAAACCCTAAACCCTGAACCCTAAACCCTAAACCCTGAACCCTAAACCCTAAGCCCTAAAAATGTAAAAATTTGTTCTACAAGAGCCCAGAAGCGGCCTGCGTAGCTCGCAGTCCAGCTGCTTTTGGCTGCCAAAGGCTGAAGCGACAAAAATGAAGAAAGTCCCCACCTGCTAGATAGGCTATTGGGATTCTATTGGGGCAATGGAAAAGAAAATGGAAACTACTATTTAGGGTTTGGGGTTTTGGGTTTAGGGTTGGGTTATACTGGGGTAATGGAAAAGAAAATGGACACTACAGGGATTGTAGGGATTCTATAGGGGTTATATTGGGATAATGGAAAATGAAATGGAAACTACTCCCGCCTGCTAGATACGCCTTCGTGTAAGTACCACTCAGTAGCTTTGTCGCACCAGCATGAATTGCCTAGGTTCCCCAGTAAACCCTAAATAATCAGGGTACCCTTTTTGCTACTGTTCTGCTTTAATAAGGAGACCCCCAAATAAAAAGGGTAAAAGGGTACTACTGACCCCTAAACCCTAAACCCTAAACCCTAAACTACTGGGGTACCTAGTTGCAATGACTTTGTTGCATACTTTGTCCATGAAGGTGCGATCCCGAGAGGCCGCAAGAATTGTGCCGAAAACCTGGGTTGCTGTTAAGGAACTTAGGGTTTAGGGTTTAAGGGCCCTATAATGGAGAATCAAGTGGAAAAGAAAATGGAAAATGAAATGGAAACTGGGGGAACATAGGGATTTAAGGAACTTCAGTTAAGTTACTCTATTGGAAACCCTATTATTTACTAAATATATACATATACCCATTATAGTAACTTAATTTAAGTTCCTTAACCCTAAACCCTAAACCCTAAACCCATTATGGTAACTCAATTTAAGTTCCTTAACCCTAAACCCTAAACCCATTATGGTAACTTTATTTAAGTTCCTTAACAGCAACCCAGCAACAGGTGGTTGCCAGGTCAAGACTTCCTCCAAAATCTCACAAGCTTCCGCAGGCAAGTCATCTGTAACATCCTGGGTTGCTGTTAAGGAACTTAAATAAAGTTACCATAATGGGTTTAGGGTTTAGGGATTAAGGAACTTAAATTAAGTTACCATAATGGGTTTAGGGTTTAGGGTTAAGGAACTTAAATTAAGTTACCATAATGGGTATATATAGTTAATAATAGGGTTTCCCCAATGTAGTAACTCAAATTAAGCTCCCTAACAGCAACCCAGCATCATCAAGTAGAAGAATGTCCGGACGCCACATGGCCAATCGAGCAATGCCAACTATGACTGCCTCCCTGGCAGAAAGCTCTCTCACAGGCTTCTTCAACACGTCGGCAATTTCGAAGCGCTGAGCGCACTCATCTAATAGGTTTGAATGCGGTGTCTGTAAGGATGGCGCGTCAACTAAGTCCACTACGGCGACATGCGCAGCTGAGCGCCCCTTGCGATGTGCTCGCAAAACTGGGATGCTCATCAGGAGAAACTGCTCGACAGAAGCCTCAGTCCTCGGTAGAAGGTCGTTCCGGCAGAGTGCCAGGCGTCGCATCCCCGGCGCAAAGGCAATGGTCCCCGAGGAAATATTCGCATACCCAGCAAGAGCATCAATCTGCAAACTCTTCCCGGACCCAGAAGGCCCAGCCAGCGCAACCCTGTCTCCAGGCCGTACCACCCAGGAAGCACAGAGTGAGGGGTGTCCTTCTGCAACAACCTGGCAAAATTCCATGGCGGTGTAGGCAGCACTGCCATGAAACACCTCTTCAGATGTAGAGCCGACATCATGTTTCTGTCCTAGATGGGGGGATATACAGTATACTCACGTTAAGAGAGAGATCCAAACTTCTGGAATCCCCCAAGTGTGCTGTGAACCTGCCATGGAGTTGGCCCTGCGCATGAGAATTACATGAGACACCTTCATCCGTAGAGCCAATCAGGATTTAGGGCTCCCCGGGCTTCGGGTTTGGGTTTAGGGCATGGGTCTCTACATTAGGTGGACCCCCGACCCAGTAATAGTGGCTACAAGGGATAATGTGGATTATATGAGGGTCCTACAGCATCTTCAGAAGTGTCGCTGACATTGGACTAAGTCGTCTCAATGGTCTCCTGGGCATAGAGTTGAAGCTTCCAGTCGCCCACCAGCTGCGCAAGATGCAACAGCTGCATCCACCACATCTCCGGCGGAGCCTGCATGACCCAAAGGAGAACTACAACGGGTTTTGGGTTTAGGGTTTAGGGTTGACTAGGTTGCCCCCTAAAACCCATTGAAAAATGTTAGTATAAGGGCCCCTTATTGAAGCCATTAGGGAAAAATATTAAATATCCCAGGGGCCTACCCAGTTGATAAACCCCAGGAATTGAAAGATCGGCTGCAGCTTCTAGACTAGGCGTCTACAAGGGCTTCAAGCAGTGCTTCCTGGCAGGTCGATTTCTTTGGTGCCTCTTCGTCTCCTCTCCGGCTATGTCGCAGGGGCCATGTGAGCTCCAAGTCGTCCTGTCACAGCTGATCTCTGGGCAATCGAAGGGTTGAAGACTGCCTGTAGGAATGATACCAGCTTCATGCTTGTTCAATTTAGCACATGAGGGTACGTCTACAGAATTGGGTTCTACACTCCTCATACCCAAAATGGCTATACAACACATAGAGAGGAACACATACTTCCAAGAATTCCCTTACAACCAAGAGCTTGCACACAAGCAACGAGCCAGCCTGCGTGTAGAGATAACGCAACCACGCAAAGACAACATCCGCTGGATACTGCTGGAGGTCCAATTCGTAGGTTGGTGCACCACCTCCTGGGTTTGGCAGCAGGTTCCGTGTCCAGGGTGGATGGAAGAGATCTTTCACCAGCTATGTACCTTACATATACTGGGGTTCTATTGGGATAATGGAAAAGAAAATGGAAGCTACGATAATGGGTTATATGGTAGTTTCCCAAGATAGGGGGACCCCAATATAGACCCTAATATTATCATCCTTAATATGGGGCCCCCCAAAAAGGGACCCTAATTTTGGGAAACCCCCCATATAGGGATATTGGGGTACCTGATTCAACTCTTCAGGTAATCCAATAGATTTAGGGTTTAGGGTTTAGGGAAGAGTTTGTCCATTAGCAGCAGCTTCCCGAGCATGATTGTTGCTGTAAGGCTGGTGAAGCTTCCGTCTTGTGACTTGGAAAGTTGTTGCTATGAACATGTGGACCTCGCCTACAACGGCAAAAGCATGATTCTTTCTTGGATCCCCTGTATCACAAAGCCCCTGGCAAGTAGCATAATTTCCGAAAAAGTGTCCATACCCTAAACCCGCAAGCCATGTGTTTTGGCCTCCTCCATCCCGTCGACGCAGACGGAGTTTCGGCATTGCATCAGATGAGTCCAATGCCGGCTGGCCAAGCCTGAATGAGCTTAGGGTTTATGGCTTCCTCAAAACCACATGGAAAAGCAAACGGAAAAAGCAAAACAAAAAAAAAATGTTGGCTTCTAATGATCTCTAGGGTTAGGGTGTAGTCTACTCTGCAAGCTAGGAGGGTAGATTTTAGAGAGGCTGTTTGGGTGTAGATAAACAGAGTAGGCACAAGATTTAAATGTTATCGAGCGGTAGCAAGATTATGAAACAGTTGTGTACCCAAAACAAATAGCTGGACAGTCAACTGGAGTAGAGGATCCCTGGCTACAAGCACGCTTACGCGATCCTCTCAACTCCTTGTGCTGCGCATTTTCAAACCCTACAAACACAAACTCTAATCAGTCTACCTCACATATAACCTACCTGGGCCGCAAAAGTATGTGAAATAATTGCCTTTATGGCTATGATTATGGGCTTAGGGCTATTATTTTACATACTTTTGGGGTTTAGGTATAGTCTAGTAAAAACCCTGCACTATCTATGCACTCCTTCAGAAACCCGTGCGAAATGGATACCGGAGGAACATAAACATCGGGACCCGTGCTACACTCACTTGTATGAACCCTAGATCCTACACCCTAAACTCAAAACCTTGAACCTTAGGCCCGAACCCTGAACCCTGAACATCCCTGAACCCTACACCCCTATAGGGGGCCCTTACACACTAGCCTCTGGGCCCAAAACCCAAAACCCTCTGGGCCCCAAACCCTAAAACCTAAACC